TTTCTATTTTATTTTTAGTTTTCTGATACTTTGGCAATTCTGAATTGGGAGTGGATGGATTCCCCTTAATTGAAGTCTATGTTCAAGTAGTCATAATCAAATACAGAGCATCTATTGATTATAAGTAAACTCTATAGAACAATAAAAATATGAAGGTGTTTTAACATTGATGGAGGTCTGATATGATGTCTTGAGCATGCACTTTAGAGAAATATGTATTCTGGCTTTATCACTTACTAGCTGTTAGACTTTAGTAACTTCTTAATTTTTTCTGAACCTCAATTTCCTCTTTTACAAAACAAAGATAAGAATTGGTCCTACTTCATAAGATTGTTGAGAGGATTGAAGGACATGATATGTATAAAACATTTAGCTGAGCACACAGTAAGAGCTCAATAAGGATTTAATATTATTACTGCTACGACTTCCACTGCATTTCTTTCATAAACTAACCTAAGGGATAGCACTTTGTTCAAAAGGCTCTGTGTAGTACATGGTTTTTATCAGATACAAATTTTGTTTACTCTGATAAAGCAATTAAACCCTTTCTGGGATCCATGCTCACCCCCAAATTTGAGGGCAGATACTATTAGATACTTTCAGCTCATCAAATATTTATTTTTGGAACTCCTGAGCTAGAGAATCATCCACAATTTCCTTCCTCCTTTTTCCCTCCCTATATTTATCTGGCCTCATTCCAGAAACTTCTTGGGGCTAATTCAAATTAGCATCCATTACAGATCAATCTAGAAAAAGTTGGTTATTTATTGTCAGGTGGATACATGAACCTTGGCAGTTTCAGAAACCAGAGCTAAAGTGATCTTATAAAGTTCCAGTTAAATCAACATGGTACTGTGCTAGTCTCATGATGACTTTCACAAAATTACCTCTGAAATGCTAAGTATTTTCCCACTCAGAACCTCATTCTAACTCTATAACTTATACCAGAGATCACACTGTACCTGCTCTTAGCCTTGTAAGTCTTACAAAAGCCCTTGGCCAAAAGCAATAAAATTTGACCTGACCTAATCCTGGAGTCACAATGGATAATGTGTGTATTTTTCATTCAATAATTTAATGTGGAAATTAACTGCATGTGTCACATATTCCCCATCTGAAAGAGAGAGCTTTTATGGTTCTAAGATTACACAAAAATTAAATATGTAAACACTCTTGTCATTTAAGACTCTTCACTTTCCTGATAGCTTAAATAAGCACTACAAAAGACTCTTTTGGAGAAATTTATTATTTCATTCATTATGGAAGTCTACTCCATGAAATTCACCCCCTATGGCCACAGAAATGATAGCAACAGGTTATTATTATTTTTTTCTTTCTCCCTGAAAGATCTGAAATAATTTGCCCACTTTGGCTTACTATATTGTTCTCTCCTCTTTGTCAATATAAGAAAAACACTGCGGGAATTTACAGAAAATTTTATTCTCTTTCTCTCTTCTTTCAGGTGTTCTTTTGAACATTGTCTACTCCTGGGTATAGGATGAAAAGCGTCTCTCCACCTGGTCTTACCCTTTTGACTGTCCTTATGTGATCTTTAAAGACAGTTTCTTTGTGGTAGTCTTCTGTCTGATCTATTTCCATTGCTTTTCCTCTCTTGTCTCATTTTGTTTCTTCGGTATTCCATAAATTTATCTTTATTTATTTTGGTCATTATATTAAACTGAATGTTTTGAATAGCTACATGGTTCAAAAACCAAAGGTATACACTGTTATACAGTGATAAGTTTCCCTCATTTCTTATCTTTCTAGTTCTCAGATTTGCCCTCCCACATAAGTATCCACTATTCTTAGTGTCTTTTTTTTTTTTTTTGTGACAGAGTCTCACTCTGTAGCCCTGTCTGGGGTGCTGTGGCATCAGCTTTGCTCACAGCAACCTCAAACTCCTGGGCTCAAGCAATCCTCCTACCTCAGCCTCCTGAGTGGCTGGGACTACAGGCACGTGCCACCATGCCTGGCTAATTTTTTTTCTATTTTTAGTTGTTGGGCTAATTTCTTTCTATTTATAGTAGAGATGGGGGTCTCACTCTTGCTCAGGCTGGTCTCGAACTTGTGAGCTCAAGCAGTCCTCCTGCCTTGGCCTCCCAGAGTGCTAGGATTACAGGCGTGAGCCACCGTGCCTGGCCTGTTCTTAGTGTCTTATGCATCTTCCCACAGTTTCTTTATGTATATTTAAGCAAATATGAATATAGATCTTCCTCCCCCAATTTTACACAAAAGGTAGCATACTATATATGTTTTTCTAAGCTTTCTTTTTAACTTAATGTATCTTGGAAGTTTTTTCATATATGATACCTAGTGTGATTCCATGTTCTTTTTTATAGCTGCTTTGTATGGATGTGTATGACAATTTTTTAACTAGCTCTCAGTTGAAAGATACTCTATATTTTACTCTTAAATTGCATTGATGCAATTTATACATTTTTATTCTTACAAACAACTCTCGTTTAGATGTCATTTTATACATATCTAAGTGTATCTGTAAGATAAATCATGCTAATTAGAATTACTGGGTCAAAGGTTATTTGCATTTGTAATTTTGATAGAATATTGCCCGACTGACCTTCCTAAGGGTCATAGAAATGTGTACTTCTACTAGCATTATATGAGAATTACTGTTTCATAGATTCTAATCTACTGAGTATATATTAAAATTTTGAAATTTTTGATATTCTGAAAGGTGAACTCTCATTTCAAGTTTTTTAAATTGCATTTCTTTTATAATGAGAGAGTTTGAGCAGCTTTTTATATGCCTAGGAGTTACTTCTTTACTTCTCTCTTCCTCATTTTTCTTATAGATTTTTAAGAGTTATATATATATAAAAGAACGATGAGCCTATGTATATTGGTGTGAAAAATTGTCTTTCTAAAACTTTGTTTATATAATTGTTTTGCTGAAGTTTTTTTTTAAGTGAGGTTGAATTTTTTCTAGATTTTGTAATGAGTATAAAATCATACTTTTATAAAATTATATTTAATTTTTTAAATTTTATTTTTTTTCCTTGGAGGAAAACATATTTCCTTGGGAGGGATGAAGTGGTAGAATAGGAGAGTTTTTATATGATTTCCCATGTCCACATTTAGCTAACTGTAATTATGTGATTTGAAACTACAGAAAAATCAAAATAGGGAAAAAAACTGTTAGAACTGTCCTTTAAAGAAATATCCAAAATGCAGGAAAAACTCTAACTACAGAGACATTCATGGAAGCAGCATATATAATAGTGAAAAAAATTAGAAGCAGTTTGAATATCCAACAACTGAAAAAGAACAAAATGCATATTGATATATTCCACGTAATATTATAGATGAATTAAAACAATGTGTCAAAGCAACAGTCATAACACAGGGACATGCTAGCGGATAGTGGAAGAGCTGGTGGGGTAGCAGAGTCATAAAGAACAGAGACCCTGGGATCAATGGCTAGGTTTAAAATTGACTGTAGTATATACTGGCTGTAAGACCCTGTCTTTGCCTTAGGTTCTCCCTTCATTAGGAGAGAACTTATTCATGGTGCCTACTCCATGGGGCTGTGTGAGGTTTAGAAGAAACAATGCTTATAAAGCCCTGACCCAATGCTTGGCACATCGTATGGGCCCAACAAATAGTCACCATTATTATTAAATATACGATCTCAACTTTGTTATAAAGACATTGAAGAATACTGGAAGTTCCTTCAAAGAGTAGATTTCTTTGGGATATAAAACAAAGGGTGATGTTTTTTTTGGCTTTTCAGTTTTCTGTTCTTTGCCATATTCTATCATTATTAAATAATTGTGCTGGTTTTTCCATTTGTCCTCTAGAACTATTTTGTCTTTTCTCCCCAGAACCCCCTTTTGTTTGGCCTTTTCTGTCCCACTCCGTGTCTGTGGGAGGCTGACCCCTATGGACGGCAGCACCCAGGTCCCCTTGCCCTCAGGCTTGGGGCTGGGTGCAGCCAGTGCCTCAGTCTGGCTTCGGATGGATCGCTGCTCCTCCACCCCACCTTCCAGCCCTCTCCCTTTCAAGTGGAGGGGTGATAACAGCTGCCCTGGCCCCTAGTCCCCAGTGCTTCCAAGTCCCTTGTCCATTCATGAACCTTTCTCACCTCTCTGTAAATAATCTCTTCATTAAAATCTCTTCGAAATTCAAGCCTAGTGTGGCGGCTTCTGTTGGGACCCTGGCTGAATTCAAGGAGCATATATTATTTTTATAATTAGAAAAATTGTATTAAAACAACACAAAGGACCACCCCCACCTCCCCAAAGGAAGCACTCTTCAGGGAGTGGAGAGGCCCCTCCGTTTCCAGACCTGAGGGTGATTATTTTGGTTTCATTTTTGAGCCCTCACATGAAATTAGGCTTCAGGCTAGAACACCTATTTCTTAGAAAAACACACTCTCTCCTGGAGAGAAATTCTAGAAAGCAGTCGCGGGCTACTGACAAACTATAATGCAGCAAAGGGATCTGGCCAAAAAAGGATTCAAGAGAAAAGCTCTGTGGGGAGAAGGTGACCTAGAAAGTGGCCCGTCATCTGCAGTGCCAGCTGCGTATCCAGCTGGGTAGGCATGGACAGAGCTGCGCTTGAGTCTGCGTCCGCCTGCAGTGGAGAGGAGACCTGCCTCTGCGGCCACTGGAAGCTCACCAGCCCCTGAGGCGTCTGGGCTCAGTAACTGCCAGGCTCCCAGGGGGTCAGTGATGCAGTTTGTTCAGTCCAGGGGTGGGGATGGCGGTAGGAGGTGGTGCCGGGGCTGGGGTGGGGGGCGGGGGAGGCTTGGCACAGTCGCTGCGCACTGCTCCGCTGTTAAATCTCCGTTGGCACGCTGACTTGTCCCCAGAAGGAAGTGTGAGGAGGAATCTCACAGTTGCATGGCAATAAAGAGCTGCCTGGTGGGCCTCTCTCTCCGCCAAGAAGCTTCATGGCTCCAAAGTTCCTGAGGGGTGTGTAACAGGGAGGAGGGAGGAATAAGCTGCTGGAGTCAGTTGCTGATGTGATCACCTTTGCAGAAACTTCCCAGTGGCAAGTGCACTGAAGACAGTGAGCTCGGGGCAGCCAGCATTGCGCAGGATGAAACTGAAGACGAGTGCTGGAGGTTCGAGAAGAGAGCTGTGGGCTACAGGACTTGGAAAGGGATTTGGGGTGAGGATCCTTGAAGGATGGGTGTTGGAAAAAGCCAGTTAAAAACTCCAGCCTCAACACTTTAGGTCAATACAGGCTTTATTTTCTTTATATTGCAAAGTGAATTCTTACGTTGGTGAGCTTTTTGTTTTCACCACTAACCTCTAATCCCCACGAGCAAGAAGACTGTGTTTATCGTGTTCATTGTTGCACACGCAGTGCCTTGCACAGTACCCAGTACAGTGCTTAGTACTTATTGACTTGAGTTGAAGGAATGGATAGCTAAATATCAGTAAGTTCTTGCATTGCTGGGCTAGGAACTCCACTTTAGCAGGAACTGTGTTGATTTTGTTCACTGCTGTGTGCTTGATGACTATTAAAGTGCCTGGCGCATAATGGGAACTTCAAAGGTGCTCATTAAATGATGAGTGGATGAATGAATAGATAGAAAAGTAAATGACCCCATAACTATTAATATATGCTCCCTGAGGGAAGAAATCACGTGTAATACACCTTAATTGTGTCCACATTACCTGGCTGAAGGCCTTCCACAGGTTTGTTGAATAATAATAAACAAATAATACCTATTCTTATATTTTCTTCTTGTCTTTACACAGAGCTTTTGCTTTCATAGTTCTTTCTCATTTGAGTTTAGTTCAGTCTCACAACTAGCCAGGCAGTGTGCACTGAGGATATGATAGTTGATAAGATGCAATTTCCTTTTGCACTCAAGTTGTTCATATGGACAGGCATGCAAAAAAATGCCATGCTGTCTAATGTGTTCACGGGAAATAGTGTTTGCAAGCACTGGAGTGTTACAGAGCATGCAAGTGGTTGTTTCTGTAGGGGTGGGAGGTGGGAGGTGAGAGTCGGTGAGGGCTTTATGAGGAGGTGATTCCTGCAAAATTTCTGAAAGATGACTAGGGGTCTGTTAGGCAGAGTAGAAAGGGAAAGCATGTCTAAAGACTCCATTAATGATGAGCTTTCCACAAGACTCTTTCCCGCAGCAGTCTTAGGTAAGAAGAATTTTTGGTGTGTATTCCTCAGGAGTATTGTGTCCAAAGGGCCAAAGACTCACTCTTATTGTTATCAGAGCTACTCAGGCCATAGATGGAAGATTTTGTTCAACTGTGAGCCCTACACTTAGGCAGAAGAGTCACTGTGCCATATGAAGGGCAGTGAAAGAAACGGGGGATATTTCCAGCCTGGACCAAAATGACCTATGGCAGGAAAAGGAGGAATATAATAGCAATTGTCAAACATTAGAAGAACTGCTATCCAAGACATTCTTTCTGGGTACTCTTGAAGGCCAAAGCTAGAATTAGTGGAAAGTTATCAGGAAGCTTTTGCATGTGGAAGTACCTGGCACAGTATCAGCCCTATGATAGATACACAGTCAATATTGTAAAACTTTTTCCGAAATATGGTTCCTCTAACTTCTGACACTAATATCGGTTCCACATTCTAGAGTAAAAGGATTAGCAGATTGTCCTGAGATTGAGAAAGCAGGATAGTTGTTGCCAGACTGTAAGTCATCTTAACAATTGTTTATTTACTTTTGGTTGGTTATTAATTTTTCCATGCTGTATGGAATGTTTTGAAGAAGACTAAAAGTTCATATAGTGTGTTTGCTGTGTCCACAGCGCGTTTATTTTATCGATGACTCAGCCTACCTGATTTTAAAATAAAGGACATGAGCCGTAAGGGTGAGAAACTCCTATTTGACAACAGAAAAGGCTGCCCCACTGGGAGGGGCAGACCTTGTGTGCACAGCTACTCAAGCCAAGGCTGGAGACTCCTCTAAGGGATGCGTGGAGGTAGAGCAGAGGACGGGAGATTGGATTGGATGATTGGCCTGCCGTTATGAAAGGGGCACTTTGCTAGGCTCCTCGTGATTCAGAGATTGGTTCATGAATTTGCTGGTTAATTCATTCAGAGATACTTTATCACCCAGGATCATGTAGTGGTTAGAGCATGGGCCCTAGGGCGACATTGCCTGGGTTCAATCCCATGCTTTGCCATCTATTCACTATGTGACCTTGGGAAAATTTCTCAACCTCCTTGTACCTCAGTTTTCTTAACCCTAAATTAGAGGCAATAATACCACCTAATGATACTTTGTGAGGATTAAGTGGGTGAATGCACATAAAGTCGTTAGAACATGGCCTGATATGTCGGAACCCCTTGCTATGTGTTATTACTCCATAAAATGTCAGCTACTCAAAGATGGGGTTTTTGGTCTGTTTGCTTATGGTTATATCCCCACTGCCTAGAATACAGCCTAACATATAATAGTTGTCACTAAATTTTTAATGAATGAATAAATAAATTGAGTACTCATTGTATATCTCTTGGGCCCTACACTAGTCACCAGGAATACAGAAATGAGCAAAAAGTTCCTGCTCACATGAGGCTTATAGTCTGGTGAGGGGGGTAGATATTAAAAACATGAACACACATTAAAAACATGGACATATATATGCTTGAGCCTCTAGCCTGCAAAGACTTAGATTTGCTTTGTCATGGAAGGGGCTCTCGCATGGATCCCCAGTGATTCTAATGTGCAGCTTAGTCTGAAAATTCCTGGTTTAAGTATTCTCAGGGTTCCCTGAATCATTTTTCCCATGAAACATCCAGTGATGATCAAATTAAATTTGGGAAACATTTCATTACGTATATTAGATATGATAGACTCTAAGAAGTTCTGTAATAAAAAAACCTGTTTAAACTTAAAAATATACCACATAAAAAATAGATGTTTGCAACTGTAAACATTACTTTGAAGAAAAAGTGAAGGGCATGATAGAACTTATCATATGCCTGATTTATAGTAAATACTTAGAAAAATCCTTCCCTGAAGAAATGACTTTTGTTTTTCTTTATTGAGACAGGGTCTCACTCTGTTGCCCAGGCTAGAGTGCAGTGGCATCATCACAGCTCACTTCAACCTCAAACTCCTGGGCTCATATGATCTTCCTGCCTCAGCCTCCCCAAGTAGCTGTGAGACTAGAGGTGCACACTGCCACACCTGGCTAATTTTGATATTTTTTTGTAGAGACAGAGCTTTGGGCTATTTGGTCTCAAGTGACCCTCCTGCCTCTGCCTCCCAAAGTGTTAGTATTACAGGTGTGAGCCACCACGCTCAGCCAAAAATGACTTTTAATAGAGATGTGAACAATTAGTGGGCAGGTGAGTAGGAGTAGTAATATTCCAGGCACAAGGATAATCATGTACAAAGGTCCTGTGGTGGAAGAACTGATTCAAGAGCAAAAAGAAGGCCAATGCTACTAGGATGTAGCAGGTGAGGAGAAGAAATGAAAAAGACAAGATTTCTATCTTCAAGGAACCTTAGGAAAAAAAACGTACATATTCCAAAAATTTATTATTCTATGATTTTCCAAATATAACAGGAAGAAGAAGAAATCAATGTCAAGAATATTAATAATTCTTCACCAGCTGTTATAAAAACCCAGTTTCATGTTTGTCTCTAGGTAAATTACATAATTTTTTGAAAAGCAGATTTGCTTTCACAAGTATGTTGGCTTAAGCTAACATTAGTATTAGGTCATGTTTACTGAGCATACAGTCTGCGTAAGAAGTGACATGGAGATTGAATCAAGATGCCAAATCAGCACACATGCCTCCTGCCCTTTTTCTTTCCAAATCCTTTAAAATGTAAATGGGATATTTTACAATGCATCTCAGTACCTAGAAAGCAAGAAAGGGAGCTAGATACACCCTCTACCCTTCCCTTCATCTCCTCCTGGCAACCACTGATCTGTTTCCTATTTCTATAATTTTGTCATCCCAAGAGTATTACACAAATGTAATCATATAGTATGTAGACTTCATCCAGGTTGTTGTGTGTATAAATAGTTTGTTTCTTTTTATTGCTGAGTAGTATTCTGTGGTATGGATGTACCACCGTTTGTTTAACCATTCACCAACTTAAGGACATACGGACTATTTCCAGTTCTTGGCTATTATGCATAAAGTTGCTATAAACATTTGTGTATAGGTTTTTGTGCAAACATAAGCTTTCATTTTCCTGGGTCATATGCCAAGTAGCATAAGGGCTAGGGTGCATGGTAGTTACATGTTTAGTTTTTTTTACCAATTGTTTTCCATATTGGCTGTACCATTTTACATTCCCACCAGCAATGTATAAGTGATCTGGTTTTTACAAATCCTTTCCAGCATTTGGTATTTTTACTACTTAAAAAATTTTTACTATTAATACTGTGATAGGTATGTAGTAATACTTCATTGTGGTTTTAATTTGCATTTCCCTAGTGGTGAACCTGAAGAGTTATTATTATATGGTGGAATGGGAGTGGAGCGTACTCTGGGAAGGAAAACAGATACTATTGGGAAAATAGGTACTACGCCAAAAGGACAATTTGAAAGAATTGAGAATATGATAATGGTAAGTACTGTAGGAAAGAGGAAAAGGTAATAAGAGATTTAAAAATTTTGTGATACTACTATGTGCAATATTATATCAACAATCATAATCCAGATAAAACTGATTATCTTCTAGGAAAAAATAGAAAAACCATTATATTATTTAACATATTTTTCTTACTTAAAATGAAACAAAAGCACTTTTTAGCAAGCTAGAAAGAAAATAAGACTTATTTAATTTGATAAAGGGTATCTACCAGAAACCTACAGTAGATGTCATACTTAATGGTAAAATATCAGATGGTAATATCAGATGCTTTTGACAAAAGCAGGTAAGAGAGAAAGATATAAACTCTCACAGCTACTATTCACAATGTAGTGGGAACTAGAATTCACATTGATTCTTGTCAATGAAGTGAGATCAGAAAAAGAAAGAAGAATATTAGAAAAAAGAGACAAAGAATATCATTCTTTGAGATGATATACCAAAAAAAAAAAAAAAAACAACTTAGGAGATACAAGACAATCTACTGAAAAAAAGCTATTACTAAGAGATTTAGTAAAGCAGCTGACTAAAGATTTTTTAAAAAAACTAGTAATAGTCTTACTTTCCTGTAACAGTGAATTAGAGAACATCTTGAAAAGAGAGTTTATTCATAATTGTGACAAAAACTGTACAATATACCTAGCATGAAATCCAATAGGAAGTATAGAAGATCTATATAAAGAAAATAATTAGACTGTCCTGAATATGTAAAATTCAGTTTGATTAGGAAGATATGCTCAAGGATAGGAAGTCTCCCCAAATTAATTTTGGAATATGGTGCAAGCCCAATAAGATCTTAAAAATTGAAGTTGATGAGCCAATTCTAAAATTCATTTGGAAGAGGAAATATGTGTGAATAACAAAGACATTTTGAAAAAGATTACCATGGCAAGGAGCTTGCCTTACTAGATATTCAAATGTACCCTAAAGTTACAGGATATTAGCAACAGTAGATACTGTATCTACATATTGTAGATAGATCATTGAGACCGAGCATGCGAATGCATAAACACACCCCCTACTTGTAGTTAATAGTCTTAGATAAAACATTCTTGGAGGTAAAATAGAGACCATAAGGATTATAACATTATATAATAGAAAAAAATTTAAAATAACCCATGTCCATTGGTAGGAGAATGATTACAAATCTACCTATGAAATAGGAATACTATATAGCTATTATATAGAATGAAGAAGATCTAAACATACCAGTGTAGAAAGATATATATGTTATATTGTTGAACTACAAAAATATCACTGAATTGAAAAAAAATCCAATTGTAGGATTAAGTAAATCATATAATAATATTTGTATTAGAGCACACAAACAAAACTATATGTTTTTTTATGTCTACATGTATGTGTATGTACATTAAGGAAGGATTTGTAAGGATATACATCAAACTTATTGCAGAGATTCACTGTGAGGTACAGATGTGAGATTGGGGAAGGTGGAAGAGGGTGTGGGTATTTTCTTTTATATAACCCTGTACTATATAGTTTAAGGGTTAAAAAATATTTTAAACGATGAAACTGCAAAGAAGCTATCCTTTACAACATGTACTATTGGAGAAAGGTTTTAAGGTGGTTCCCCAGATGGTTGGAGAATAAATCGGCTGTATCCTGAAAACTCAGCAACCAGTGGAGGAAACTAGGACAACTAAGGATGCAGAAGCCTTAGCAGCGTAGAAGAAATGACTCTTGAGCAGGGCTGCCTTTCACTTTCCCCATCCTCTCATCCCCACTGGACCTGTTATTTTCTCCCATCATACATATAGTCACTCAACTCACTTTCACATTTTCACCCACATACAAAAATGTTCATCCACTGAGTCGCTTGTCCTTTGGACATCACATTTTCTGCCCCACCTAGTTTCTCTCATTTGCAAACCTTTGGCCTCATCCCCTCTTCTCTGTCCCCAAACAGGCTACTTCCTGGAATCATATCACTTCAATCTAGTAATGAGGGTAACTACCTTATGCTTATGATCAGATTAGTTCTTCAATTAATCACAGAAAATAATTATATTCTTTAATGCATTTTTTTTTGGTAGACAAATATTCTTTCAATGACAAGGTGTAGGAGAAAAAATAAATAACAGAAGGGGTAAAAAGAATATAAATCACTGAGCAATGTGCACCTAGGCCCTGTGAGGTCAAGGTTTTCTCAAGGCAAAAAGAGGACCCAAGTCATCAAGTTATGACCAAGTTCACACTATCATTATAAATGATCAACTTTGAGGGTTTCCATATGCAAATAGTGGACTCTCCCTCTAAGAAACTGAAATGCCCCTGGACCTCTCCCTGGTATTCTTGGCTCCCTCTCCTTCTAAGAAAGAAATTGGAGATGGTGGTTGGCAGAGGCACTGGCTTGGCCTCCACAGAAGCAGATACACTAGCACCTCCGGAAAGGCCCTGGAAATCTCTGCAAGGAGAAATGCTTTATTATTTAAAAAAAAATGCCACCAAATGAAGAGCAGTTAAACAATTTGCTATTACAAGCCTTTGTAGGGAGGAACAAAGGTGGTAGTTTCTAATCCATTAGGAAACAAGGTGGGAGGAAAGGCAGGAAAATACACAGCCGGAACCGGGATACTGCTCACAGGCACTGGGGCTACAACCATACCATTTTGTAATTAGCAACCGCCAAAGTGTGACCACTTCAAGTCCCAATTGAAAAAAACAAAACAAAACAAAACTAGAAAATTGTTCATCCCACAGATGGAAAAGAGATACTATACTGTACCTGTTACAGGATACCTTCCTCTATACCCACCTCCGCCATCCAACCCTGCAAGGAGCAGCAAAATCACTTTTGAAAATGTTTTCTGCTTTGGGCCCGCAGAAAAATAACATATCTGTAAATGAGAGGTTCAGGCAGGTTACCCAAGGCGGTGAGGAGAAAATGTGGAATGGAGTTCTGGCAATTGTCCAAAGCATCAAAACATCTGAAATAATTCTAGTTTTTCTCTGTAAGCTATGAAAATCGGTGAGATGAGACCAGGAGATGCAAGGGTTCTTGAATCCAAGGAGAAAAGATCTAGAAACAGACAGTAACTCTCTTAGCCCCATTTTACTGAATTTATGCAGTATAAATGCAGACCTAAAAATGTAGTGTGTTTCACTAAAATCTGTTTCCTGTGTTTTAAAGCTGAAGTTGATGCCTTTAATCTCCAAGCTGTGATGGCAATTGGCCTGGTGCATGGTCCCTGGGGTCTGAAGAAGGCTTAAAAAGAGATACTCTTAAAATATTTTTGTATATCAACAAACTCTTATAAAACATGTTGATGGGTTGGGTGTAAGCAAATGAGAAACAGAAGGATTCAGATTTCCTTTCAAATATACACTAGCGTAAGCATGAAGGGGAAAAATATTCAGTTGTCAAAATAGGCTTGAGGTTTTGCTGAACCCAGAAATTCTGGACAGTAGTGTGAGATGTTTTTGCCAAACCCTAAATACTGCAGGGTTAAGCTTTCCCTCTAACCAATTAGATAATTGCCATTTCATTCTGCGGATTTCTCAATTGTTGCTTTTTATTTTTTTATTTTTTGAAAGAAAACAAAATAATTAGCCTCATCTTGGGGTAATTTTGCTAATATTTCCATAATTAAATAATTACTTCAACCCCTGAATTAAAAACTGTCCTGCTGTCTCTGTGGATACAGTAGGCAGCCAGCTGTTTTAAATAACCCTTGAGAGTGGTCAGGTTAAGGACTCAGTTTATGACCTTATAAATTAACACAAGGAAACCTACTCTATAACGCGGCAGACAATTCTATTTATAATGCTTAATTAATCCCCTCCACTCCCTAACAGAACCCACTTGTGACCTTTCATTTCAACCTCACCCAAATGCAAGTCTCCCGAGATGAGACGTGCTAACATGTGAATGCTGATAGAATTTGCTGCCATTATGGTCAAGCATCAAAGAGCTAACAGTCTGGATACATTAGCTCCTAATGGCTCACTCATCAAAAGTAAGAAGGAAATGTCGAATTGGGAAGCATCCATGAAACCCTTCATCAAAATCCTGAGCTGGAGAGAGGTAGAAAGATAGGAAAATGTCCATGCTTCCAAACTGCCTGCAAACGCTTGCTCTGAATTTCTGTCTTGACCGATGAGACAACCAAGAGAAAGTATCAGAATTGTTTCAGAGGATGTCTACGCAGGGGCTGTCCTGGGTGGCTTTGTTTATTTTCTGTTGTAAGTACACTAGGGCTGCCTTCTCTTAGACTGATGCAGAAAATTCATGGATAACCAATTTACTTCTGTCTTACCTAATATATTACAGAGTGGAGTTATCTGGAGAATTCCAAGTACCCCAGAAAGTTACAAGGTGTGGGCAGAGTAGTTTTCAAAGATATATGAGGTTCCCCTGGGGACAGGCCCTGGGAAGGAGAAAAGAAGGCATGTGTACTACTTGGACATTTTTGAAGGTAGAAAGAGCCCTGGTGACCTGAACGCTTAGAAAGTCTACCTTGTAGCCTGGCACCTTGGAATATGTGTGGAGAGTTTTATTAGGTTCTAGGGCTGTTCGGGGTTATTTCCATATGTCCTTGTGTATGAGGAAAATAGCTTTCTATTTCTTTCTCCACATTTAAAGGTCAACATATCACGATGAATCTAGCTCTATTGTGAGCACTTAGGCAAATTCCCTAATTTTTCATTGCCTCTGTTTTTTTACCTGCAAAGATGGAATCATAACAGCACCTACCTCATGAGATTGTGGTGAGGATTGAGCAGAGTTAATAGACATAAATGATTTAAACAGTGCCTGGTGCATAGGAGGTGCTATGTAAGCATTAGCTGTTATCATCATAGTACCTCTGAGATATCTTTCTCCTCTGAGCTCTCCCTCTCCTTTCCTGTTGCTGCCGCGGTACCCAGATCAGCCTGTCATGACCTCCCTCTTGAATAGCTTCATAATTCATTTCCTTATTCTAAATCCATATCTCCTCCAATACATCATACACAGTTTGCCACTGCAGTCTCTCCAAAGTCTACTTCTGATCTTGTCCCCATCTTATTCAATGGCTTTGCAGAATTTATCACACAGAGTTTAAACTCCTGAGCCTTGATTTCAAGCTTGGCTGCACCCCTACCTGCCGATTAGAGAGTTTCACTCTCTAATCTCACATTTCACCGCACCGTCTCATGAACCTATGCTCAGGTGGAGCCATGCTATTTTCTATTTCCTCTACATGTTTCCTTATTTTTCCTCTACTTGACCTGGCATTTTCTTGCTCTTCTGCCTGTGCTCAATGTCCTTTTCATTCATAATTTACATTTGCCCTAATATCTTCCAGTCTAAATCCAAGCCATCCTTCAAAGCCAAGCCCAAATGTCACCTCCACAAGAGGGGCCTTTACAGATGCCACCATTTTACCATCACCTTGTTCTTTCCTGAATTCCAACATACTTTATCTGCTTTTTCTTTCTTTTTTTTAAATCTTCAACCCTAGTTACCTGGCATCATAGTTATCAATCTGCCCCCTATTTTCTATGTTCCACACCCCACCCCTCAGCTCCTCAGATCAAGTTTGATTCTTTAATGTTTCCCACTCAGACCTGTCCCCAACCCTATGTTATGCATGGAGCAGGGTCTCTGCAACAGGAATGGGACGGTAATTGAGGGGCTTGGAAGGGCAGTCTGGTCTTGCAGTCCTTCCTTTCTGTTACTTATTTTCAGTCACTTTATGGCTCCTCTACATGAATGCCTATGGAAATATTTCAACTCCAAAAGTGAATGGGGTTTAAAAAATCCTATCGGCAGGAAGAACACACACACACACACACACACACACACACACACACACACACGAAAGGCACAAGTGATTTACAGACAACAGATTACTTTTAAAGAAAGAGCAGTGAAAATATCTTGCGTTCAGTACCTTTATACCTGGTCACTACAGCTGCGTTGACGCTGAGAGGCTCTTGGAAGCTGACGGTGAGTGATGTGCTGCTGGTTACCATGAGACACACATTGGTTGGCATCTCAGGGGCTCCTGGGACAGAAGGAAAAACACAAGGGTCTTAACACAGCAAATCCTTTTCAGACAATGTTCCTCCTCTTCAAAGGATACCCTGAAACACACACTATGGAAACATTTGTTTGTACAGCCTAATAGCTTTTGCTTTTGAACATTTTCATTAGAAGTCTCAATGACTTTTATTTGTTGCCATTGTGGTCTTATTTGAGCATTAGCACATCTTCTGGAAATGTAAATAGTGCCAGTTAAGCCTTCCTAAAGTGTCCTGGAAACACAATAGGAGGCTGGGCTGGATCAGTGGAGGGAAGGGCAGAAAGTGAAAGCAGGATCCTACATTGTGGAGACCCTTATGTTTCATAAAGTACTTTGATGTAAATCATTTCATTGGGGCCTTTTGGCAGCCATGTTGGGTAGAAAGGGCAAGTGCTGCAACCCACAGAGGCCAAATTTCTTGTACGAGAACACAATGAAGACGAATAGCCGGGATGAAAGCCCGTGGCTTCAGATGCCTAACTCTGGGCTCTTTCCAGTACAGACAGTATTCTTAACGCACCTTGCTCTCAGGCAAGTAAAATGCCTCCTAGTAAATGCCTCCTAGTAAAATGGGTAGTGTTTTCTGAGAACAAAAATGCATGGACAGATGTCATGCTCAGAAGCCTTAGTTTTTAAAGGACTCCTGATGGCTTTAGGTGTTGCTTAACACCCAGAAGTTGTTTTATACTTTAAAAAATTACAAACATTTGACAACAAGTCTAAAAATGTGTCTGTTTCTAATTAGTGTGGCCTGAATGAGACACAATAGCAAATTCATTTATTAAAGCAGTTGCTGAATCTCTTTAAACAAATCCATGCATTAGCATTGCTGAAGAGATGGTTGATGCTGAAAGCAAACTTTCACTAATGTTGCTAAATTATTTGCTGCAAGAGAAAGGATTAGGCCCAGGCTTGATACTTAGTGTACAGTAGTATTTAAGAAAACAAAATTTTCACTGCTTTTGGCCTTTGTCTGCATCACAACTAAGATTCCTAAAGCAGAGGCAGAGAATTTCCAGACTAATGATCTGACCTTTCCTTATATTTAAATTTCAAGCCTAATTTTTTGTTGTTGTTTAGGTAAGATCTCCTTCTAGAATAAGAGTTCAATATTTCGTGTTTGAATTTTATATTTTGTTTTTGTATCAGAGGCTGCACTCAGCAGTACTTTCTAATGCTAATGAGTATTATTCAAAAAGCAGGCTTTTCCTAAACTAACAAAAAGAATTGGTAAAGAGAATGGAAGTGTAGACAAAAGCATAATTCATGGGTTGATTGACTGTCCTTCTCTGTTGCCTGTGTTCAGTTTATAGCTCTACATAAAAAAAAATGCAGTGGAGAGTTGAAAACAGCTTAAACTTCAGCTTGAAGCAGAAACTGGACAAATAGGCAAACAAATATTTTTTCCACCTTCCCATCTCAAAATATAGCCACTTAGGGCATCAGACCATCCAGATCATTAGGCATTAGGGCATAGAGGATGGAAAGTGCTAGATGAGTGTGACATGGTGGAGGGAGGCCAGAAGCATGAAGCCTCATGGCTGTGGTCAGAGGACCCCTTAGGAGCCAGAAACTCAAGCAAGACAAAAGACCCTTTGACAGCCTCCCAGAGCCCTTGCTCCAAATAGGCTGACAACGGCCATCCATGACCCTGTAGAGTTGCAAAAATATCAGTAAAAGAAGGCCTGGCTGTCTCAAACAAAAGCTCAGTCTAGTAAAATGCAGAAGTCCTCTGCTTATACTCACTGGCATGCTCAAAGCCCGTTTTCATGCGTCTGTAGAGCCGATACCTCCACTCCCAAGCCTTCAGCTGTTTCTCTTTCTCTGTGTTGTCTAGAGTGAATCCTTCATTCTCCACCTGGGCAGATAGTTCACTCACCCTCTCCTGGGCTTCCTGGACCAGTGTGTTGAGGTGCATTGCTCGGCTTTCCAGGCTGACAACTAAAGGGAAAGAAATGGGATGACTCTTCTTTCTTTCTGGGGAAATGCTGCTTTATTGGCAGGATATAGCTGAGAGTCTACTGTGGGTTTTCAAAACTGCCTTGGGAAAATGGGATCTGTGTTCGTTACTAACTGTCTTATTATGATAAAGTCTAATGAGTGACATTTACAATCAGATTAAGTGGTCAATTCATCAAATTAAGATACTCCTGTTGCTCTGTGGCCCACCTGTAACATGCACCCCATTTAGCTGCTTAGCGCAGCTAATTAGAATTCCACCATCAAGTACCCAAGAGGACCACTTTTAATGCAGATTGCACACATTTGTTTTCATGACCTTTAGAGGGACAAACACTTAGAAGCAAAAGCTCCACAGGGCCAGGAAGACCCTAGGAAAAGTTATCCATGAGGCAAGTTGCATTCTGGTGAAGCTATTTGGGTTTTTTGTTGTTGTTTTGGTAGAAACTGATTGAGATTTTCTGCTGTTAAAACATTCTTCCCTGCTTATAGACATTTTTGTACATACATCTTATTATTAATCAACTATTTATTGCTAACAAAGTGTGCCATTATTGCTGCTACAGTTGAGCTAGTGAGTTCTGATGACTGGATGACTTGAATGTGATCAGGCATTGATCTTTGACTATTGTGTGATTGCAGGAATGATCTCCACAGATGCCCATGTCCAAGAGGGTAATTTATACAAGCTCTTCTTGCTGAGAGAGGTTGTAGAGCTTGATATTTCTACTTTTCCCAATGTGTGATAGTGTTCATTTGATTTACATCAGATTGCTTACCCAACCTACCCTTGTGTGATTGAATTTTCATGTCAACGAAGGGGAAAGAAGAGCCCTCATCCTTGTGCTAGGCAGGGAGGCCACTTCTGGCAGCCTTATGCATATGAAGTCCTGCCTAGATGGTCACTTGGTCACTTCAGAGGACCCCCTCCTGGTTACTGATAAAAGACAGCCTTGGCATGGGAATGTGGTAGGGGATCACCAAATAATCAAATAAATCAAAATGAAGTTCCACAGATCTGTTGCTGAAATGTGTTTGACACCCCCTGTGACCAAAACAATATTTCCTCCTGGTGGGTGGGAAAGAAATCCAACATTTCATTCTTCGAATTAAGGGGGAAAATATTATGAAGATAACTCAAGTGAAAATTTGTTAGGTATATTTTCAAATGGAAATTAGGTGGTTATATATTCATATTCTCTGTGTTCATAGGCATGTTGGCATTAATTACAGGAAATGAATACTAATTTATTATTGCCCCTGCGCCCCATCAGTCTAAATTTATTTACAGATGAGGTCAATGAAAAATTACTTGAGTCTCTTTTCTTTTTCTTTCTTTCTTTTTTTCTTTTTCAAGTTGCTGTTTAGAACACTCAGGACTGTGTTTTGCTGCAGATTTGTCATGGTTAATGAATGTTGCTGTAGCAGTCAATCATGTACTCTAAATACTGTCACACTTTTATTTAAAAGCCTCAGTCATGAGCCATGACAGAAAAATAAACAAATAAATATAAAGCTAAAAAACTCTTTCACTGAGCAGCTACACTATGCAGAATCCCTTGGGAAGGCTAAAGGAGGCCAGAATAAATGATAATATAAGTGCTGTGGACGTAGGGAAGCAATGATGGCGTATGAACGTGGAGGTTCTGGAGAAAAAAAATACACATACACACACGCGGGCGCACACTCCAGTGGAAAAATTGGCAATATTAGTAGCCTCAAGGTGCAATTTCCTGGAGCAGTGAGATTGACAAGTCAGTACTAAATGCTGTTAATTTAACTAACTTCAGATTAATGGTAGAGTCTGCTATGACTGAAGCCCTCAAACACAGTCTCATTATAGCCTTGCTGGGAAGGTCCTAAATATAGGCATTGACAGTTTAAAACAAATTCGTATACATTTGTGTATTTTTAGACATAGGTTAGGCGTCAGAGTTTGTGTCACAGTTTTCAGGTTGATTAATTGACCCAGTAACTGCACCCTCTACCCACTCTCCCCCTTCTTCCACTCCAAATTATAGAGAAAATGGGGGAATTGTCCTTGTTAAGTTATTCAGTGAGCTTTTCATTGTAAGCCTCATGTTTGAATTGCATGCATGCGTCAACACTCGGGTGATAGACACATGATTTATAAAAATAAATTTTTCTAATACTATGAAATCCCCCCTATTAATTTTTATATCCACAACAGTTATTACTGGTGTGAATTCCAGGTGGCATTTCAGATGGACAGCTTCTCTTGAGCTGTGCTTGGCTCCCCTGGCATTCTTCCTGGTCTCCCTAGCACCACACATTTTCTTTCTGCATTCTCCCTTTCCTCCTATGCTTTCCACTTGATGCCATTTGAATTATAATGGTAAACGGATTCCACTTCTTCAAGGTAATGAATTTTTTGCCTGTTCAGAGACTAACAAGGGAACTCCGTAGAAATTTATAGCCAGGTGGGCTTTTCCAAGATTCTTTAGGTTCCGGTGCTCATCAAACTGGGATATCTAAACTCCAGTGTAATATAGTGGTGATGGTGGGTGGGGTGGGGGTGCAGTGGGCATCTCTGAAGCCACAATATGAATATATGTGTCATTTTAGAGCATCAGATTTTACAGACGGCTTTGGTGCCTATTAAATAAAACACATTATTTAGAAATGAAATAGGTCTATGATGGAGGAGAATAGAAAATTTTTCAAAAAATTTAAGATTATTTTTTAAAAAATAAACTTTCTAGAAATTGATTCCTTCTTTTCAGGTTAAGTCCCCAGGTATCCCTGAAACTACACTTACCCGCCTCTGTTGTTAGAAGTAATTGCATGGACAGCTTAGAGAGGCTCTGACTGAGCCACTGGTTTCCAACCATTTCACCAAGAAAACCTTTATTTTCTTTTCCTATGGATTTCTTTTTAATAGCTGAATAAAACAGTCTCTTTTGAAAGCTTTTTTTTGTCTACCAAACCAGCTGACTTATAAAGTATTCATGTTTCTCCCTATTATTAATGACCCATATAACTGCCAGTAGAAGCATCTGTTCAGAATGAGATAATCAACCTAACAAACTGGGTTAATATATTTTAAGCAGAAGCAAGTAAATATGACAATTGTATTAGACTGTGTAGTTTTATCTTGGGTAATGGTGCAATAGGTTAGGTTCTTTGACACCTTAAAAATTGTTCTGGGAGCCCCATTCCTATTTTTGCGACCCCAGAATGGGAACTTTTTCAACCTCCTTATTTTAAAGATGGAGAAACTGAGTCTCAGGGAGGTAGAATGACTTACACGACATTTTATTAAAAACTTAAGAACTCAGTGAACTCTCTCTAAACCGAATGGAACAGAAGTCAACCTATTATTTACATATTGCCATTCTCTAATCGCTATTTGGTGGGAGATTGGACTTAGAAGACAGAAAGGTTGTGTCTATTTTATTATTTATTTTCCTGCCCATCTACTTCTCTGTTTCTTGGGTCCATTCCCCTTTTATTTCTACCCCCCAGGATATTTTCCCGTTGGGTCCAGCATTCCTGATCCTTCTGCAAGATTTTGGTCTTTTCTCTCATTTCAGTTGGTCCATTCTCCAGCTTAGCAACTATCCCTCTGAGCAGCCCTGGCCAGCACAATGGAGGGTCTGTGAGTGTGTGGTAAGCACTTCAGCTGGGGCAAGACCACTCAGCGGCTCCTGAAACAGGCTCCGCGCTATTGTGGTGTTTAATTATCAACAGCATTTCTACCACCCAGTGCTTCTGAGTGGGTATTTGTTATAAGACCTGCCCTGCTAATTAACTACGGGATAGGGGTGAGGAGTGGGGCAGGAACTTGGTGTTCAAAGAATACAATTACGGTTACTGTTTAAATCCTGAGATAAATAATGATCAGGGGCTGAACAAATTTTCTACACCGTCAGAATCTAACCTATGGATTGTCAGCTACTTACTGTTTCTTAACTTTGCCCTTGGCCTGCAATTGCTGCACTGGGGCCTGGTTTATAACTGCTTAAAGCTGAAAATATAATGAGGGTAAAAAGTAAACTAACTTTAAATTTTAGTTGAGGATTTGAAGGAACAATTCATTTGGCTTGCTTGAAAAAAAATGGACACATTTACCCATTACTAATGATATGCCATTTTTCAACTCAGCAATAATTTTTCCATTATTATTAGCATTTTCCTCTTTTTTAATGATGAGGCATAAAGATAATCACTTAATCTCAGAGTTAAAAGGATTCTTTACGACAAACCTTAGATGCCTTTTTCTATGGAACCCTGGGACCCGGAAGATTTTCTTCTAGAGGGAACTCACTGCTTACTGACTTGGCTCTGTCCTTTTTCACACAACTCCAAATTGTAAAGAATTTCCTTATCCTAAGCTGACATTTGCTTTCTTATTATAGTCATGTGTTGCTTAATGACAGGTATATGTTCTGAGAAATGTATCGTTAGGTGATTTCATCATTTATTTCATCATAGAGTGTACCTACACAAACCTAGATTCTATAGCCTACTAAACACCTAGGCTATATGCTATAGCATATTACGCTTAGGCTACAAACCTGCATAGCATGTTACTGTACTGAATATTGTAAGCAATTGGAATACAATGATAAGTATTTGTGTATCTAAACATTTGTAGACATAGAAAAGATACAGTGAAAATACAGTATAAGAGATAAAAAGTGGTATACCTGCATAGGCCCTTTCCATGAATGGAACTTGCAGGACTGGAAGTAGCTCTGGGTGAGTGAGTGAAGGTGAAGAACTAGGACATTATCGTACACTACTGTGGACTTTATAAACACTGTATACTTAGTCTACCCTACATTTATAAAAATATTTTTCTATCTCTAATAATAAATTAAACTTATGTTATTATAACTTTTTTATTTCATAAACTTTTACATTTAAAAAAATGTTTTGAGTCTTTTGTAATAACACTTAGCTTAAAAGACACATTGTATAGTTGTACAAAAATATTTTTTATGTCCTTATTCTATCAGCTTTTTCTATTTTTAAATTTTTTTCTTTTTTTTGTTTTCTTTTTACTCTTTAAATGTTTTTTGTTAAAAACTAGGACACAAACACACACATTAGCCTAGGCCTACACAGGGTCTGATCATCAGTATCACTGTCTTCTACCTCCACATCTTGTTCCACTGGAAGAGCTTCAGAGGCAATAACAGGCATGGAACTGTCATCAACCATGAGGACAATGTCTTCCGGATTACCGCCTGAAGGACCTGCCTGAGGCTGTTTTACAGTTAATTTAAAAAAAAATATATGTAGAGGGATACATTCTAAAATAACTATAGTAAGTATAGTATAGGAAATACATGAACTGGTTAACATGGTTGTTTATTATCATTATCAAGTATTATGTATTATACATAATTGAATGTGCTATACTTCTATATAACTGGCAGCATAGTAGGTTTGTTTACAACAGCATCACCATGAATACATGAGTAAAGCACCATGCTATGATGTTATGACAGCTATGATGTCACTGGTGATAGTAATTTTTCAGCTCCATTATAATCTTATGGGATCAGTTATGTATATGCTCTCCACTGTTGACTGACACTTTATGCAATACATGACTGTATTTTCAAAGTGGAGGCAATGTGGCAAAAGGGCTTTGGGGTCCTATAGATCAAGCACTGCCTCTTACAAATGTGTGACCCTCATTAGTTACCCTGCCATATTTTCTCATCTGTAAAACTGGCATAATAATAGCAACTGTCTCATAAGTTGTAATAAATTAATGATAACCTTTTCACAGAGGGCTCTCAGTTAATGGAGGTTTGTATTATTATTATTATTATGGCATCCATTGATCTTACAGTGTTTAGAGTCACATAAAATAAATCAAAATACTTGTTTTATAAAAAAGCTCAATGTTCTATCAAAAAAAAACTTTTCTCAAATAAAAATTTTTCATTCTAGCTACTGTTCAGAAATATATGCTAATAAGTGATATCAATTTCAACCCTATTTGTTATTTAAAAGGAAAAAAACAAAGTCATTTAGGTATAAACCTTGTATTGTAAGCCAAAATCCTCTGGGCAACCAAAAAGAGCAGTTCAAAAAATTTATCTTTGCTGATCATAAGTGACAACCTTCTAACAACTTCACAACTAACTTACTTGTTTTAAATTAGGAATACCAAAAAAGTATTAATAATATAGAGATGTTCTAATACTTAAATGTTTTAAATTCGATAACCCTTACACCAGAAAAACTCAAAACATAAGTTCCAATATACTGTCTTGTTAAGGTTCAGAACTCAAAATTCACTTTGGCCCCCACTCTTGGTCATATTTTCAGGTTTTTGCAAGGATTTTCAGAGTACAATTCCAAAAAGGTTTTAGAGATCTAAAGATTAATTGTTTCATTTTAATTACTGTGGAACTTTCTTCTCCTAGAACTCATTACACCTGAACATGGGGCTCTGGAGTCTTCTTCCCTGCTACTTTATACTTCCCAGAAGGACATGTCTTCACAAGTCCATATTTTGTAAGTTAGGTTGTAACTGGTGATTCCTTAAGAAGCCAGAACTAATGACACAAAGTGGGACTTCCTGCCCAAACTCAAAGAGGCAAATGGACATCTTTTCTAAAACAAATGCACAAAAGACTCAAGTGAATTATTTAGGAAATCCAAAACACATTATCTAGTGACATCATAGGGGATTTAAGTATGAATTTAGATAACCATATCTTCTCCCAATATGTTCAGTGCTGTCCATAGATATAGAGTGTGAGCCACATCATTTAAAATTTTCTAGTAGTAACATTATAAAAACAAAAAGAAATAGGTAAAGTTAATTTTAATAATATATTTTAGTTAACTCAATATATCCAAAATGTTATTTCAATATATAATCAATATAAAAATTATTAATTTGCTATCTTTTATTCTTTTTTTGGTATTAAGCCTTTAAAATCCAGTGTAAATTTTACATTTAGGACACATTTCAGTTTGTACTAGACACATTTCTTTTTTAAATTTTATTTTATTATAAATTGACAATTTATAATTTCATTTATTTATGGGGTACAAAGTGATATTATAATTTGTGCATACAATGTGGAATAATTAGACCAAACTAACTAACATATCCATCACCTCAAATACATATCAATTTTTTGTGGTGAGAAAATTTTAAGTATACTCCTTTAGCAATTTTGAGATGTATGATACACTGTTAGTAACTATATTCATTACACTATAAAATAAATTTAAAAGAAAACCTTATTCCTCTTGTCTGAGATTTGTCTACCCTTTGACCATTATCTCTGCATTCTCCTAAACCCCCATCCTCTGTAACCAGCATTCTACTCACTGCTTCTATGAGTTCGATTGTTTTAGATTTCACATGTAAGTGAGAACATGAAGTATCTGGCTTTGTGTGCCTGGCTTATTTTCACTCAGCATGATGTGTACTACAGTTCCATCTATGTTGTTGCAAATGACAGCATTTTCTTATTTTTAAAGGCTGAAACATATTCCATTGTATATATACACAATTTTCTTTATTCATTTATCTGTTGATGGTCACTTAGGTGGATTCTATAACTTAGCTATTGTGAATAGTGCTGCAATAATCATGGGAGTACAGACATCTCTTCAACAAACTGATTTCATATCTTTTGGTGAGCATCCAGAAGTGGGATTGTTGAATCATATGGTAATTCTGTTTTTACTTTTTTGAGGAACCTCTAGATAGTTTTCCATAATTGCTGTACTAATTTACATTCTCACTAATAGTGTATGGATCTCCCTTTTCTCCACATCCTCACCACTACCTATCTTTTGTCTCTTTGATAATAGCCATTCTGATAGCTTTGACAGGATATTTCAATGTGGTTTTAATTTGCATTTCCATAATGGTTAGAGATGCTGAGTATTTTTTTTCATATATCTGTTAGCCATTTGGATGACTACTTTTGAGAAAAATCTATTCAGATTCCTTGCCCATTTTTATTTGGTTTATTTGTTTTCTTCCTATTGAATTGTTTGTGTTCCTTACATTTTTTGGGATATTAACCCGTTATTAGATGTATGGCTTGCAAATATTATCTCCTACTCCATAAGTTGTCTCTACATGCTGTTAGTGATTTCCTTTGCTATGCAAAATCTTCTTAGTTTGATGTAATCCCATTTGTCCATTTTTACTTTTGTCACCTGAACTTTTGGGGTTATACTAAAAAAATTATTGCCCAGACCAATGTCACATAGTTTCTCTCTTATGTTTTCTTCTAGTAGTTTTACAGTTTCTTGTCTTGTATTTAAGACTTTAATCCATTTTGAGTTAATTTTTATATATGATATAAGATTCCAATTTGATTCTTCTGCTCATGGATATTCAGTTTTCCCAACACTATTTATTGAAGAGACTATTCTTTTCCCATTGTGTGTTCTTGGTATCTTTGTTGAAAAAATTGGCTGTCCATGTATGGTTTCATTTCTGGGCTCTCTATTCTGTTCCATTGGTCAATGGAGTAGACATGTTTCAAATATTTGATAGTTATATGTGGCCAGTGGCTTCTGTGTTGGACACTGTAGTTTTAGAATATAAAAATATACAAATTTAAAAAAGTGCTTGTATTTGGCAGTGTTCTGCAACACAAGATGGGTAAAATATTTAAATTCTTTACCAGAAACTCTTAGGTTGTTTTATTTTGTTTTTGAGAGTTATAGTGGTTAACAGTTTTTTTTAACCATTTACAATGTGCCAGGTAATGTGAGAAATGTTTTAATGGTATTATTCCATTTAGTTCTCAACAGTCCTAGATAGGTTAGTATGGTAGCCAGTCTCCAAGAAGGCCTCCAATGACCTCTGACTGCTGTTGTTCACACCCTTGTAGAGCTCCCTCCTACACTGTGCCAGGGTTGGTCTGTGTGGTCAAGAGAATTCAGCACAAATGACAGTATGTCACTTCTGAGACTAGGTTTTGAAAGTTAAAAGGTGTTGCTTCCACCTTGGTTGGTTTCTCTCTTTCTTTATCAGATCATTTTCTCTGGGGGAAGCCAACTGCCATGTCATGGAGCAGCCAGGAATAGAGGCCCATGTAGCAAAGCAGGCAGGGCTGGCTCCAATAGCCACTGTGAGTAAGCTTGGAAGGGGATCCTCCAGCTCAAACAAGCCTTAACATGACAGCAATCTCATGTTATCCAAACTGTCTAGCTAAAGCCTTTCCCAGATTCCTGACCCACAGAAACTTTGTCATTTTCAGTTGCTGTTTTTGTGTAGCTAAACTTGTATAAGTAATACAAGTAGAAACAATTATTATCTCCATTTCACAAATGAAGAAACACAGTCCCAGAGAGGTTAAGGAATTTTCCAATAACTACAAAATGTCAGATGCAGGATTTGAAACCAGACTTCTCTGACTTCAAGAATTTAATTTTTAGCCTCTGCTAAGGATTACTTTAAAAGCTGCACCAAATTATTTTTTTTTTCTGCTGCTGCTGTTGTTGTTGTGTGTGTTGTGTGTTAAAACTTATAGGGAAAAATCTAGACACTCTCTAAACTTATGGCAATGGTTAAATTGGCGGAATTTAGGGAAGGTAACCTAGACTGTGTGTGCATGAGAAATATCTATTTAGGGATGCATTGAGTGGGCTGTCAAAAACATCTTTTAACTTTATAATGTTTCAATTTTTGACAGGGAGAAGATATTTTGTGTTGTATGTATATTTAAGAATTAAAAAAGAACAAAGGAAAGAAAAGATGACTATCAAAAGAAGGAAATCCTGCTATTTACAACAACATGGATGAACCTCTGGAGGATATTATTCAAGGTAAAATAAACCAGGCACAGAAAGATAAATACTGTATGTGGAATCTAAAAAAGTCAAACTCATAAAAGTAAAGAGTAGAATGATAATTGCCATGGGCTGAGAGTCGGGAACATGGAAGATATTGATCAAAAGGTACAACCTTTCTGGTTATAAGATGAATAAGTTCTGAAGAACTAATGTTCAGCATGGGTGGTGATAGATGTTTTAATTAATTTGATTGTGATAATCATTACACAGTATATGTACATATCAAATCATAACATGTTTGAATATATTTGAATACATTCAAATTTTATCTGCCAATTAAATATTTTAGAATTAAAAAATCAAGAAAATAGAACTACCAACTTGTGAAGAACAGGTGACTGGAACTTAGACTGTGGCCACCTAATGTTTAAACAGTTATTTGGAAACATAAAAAAAGTCAATGCAGTTGATATTTAGTAAAATCATTCCCTTCATAAGAAATAATATATTCATACTATTCAAAAGAAATAGGCTTGGAATTCATTCAGTTCAATTAAACAAGCATTTATTGAGTGCCTCCTATTTGCTGGGAAGTCAGTGATGAATGAGACAGATGGATCCTGTTCTTCTGGAGTTTACATTCTAAGGCTGGGAGGCAGAAAATAAGCAAATAAAATCGTTGAGAAAAATGTGATAAGTGCTATGCAGAAAATGACAGTGGAGTGATGTGATTAGAAAGTGACCTTTTAGATTTTGGAGTTGGTGGCCAGAGAAGGTCTCTCTTGAAGATGTCACATTTAAGTTGAAATACAAATGTTAAGAAGGAGCTGGCCGGGTAATGATCAAGATTAAAAGCATTCAAGCATTCCAAGTAGAGGGAATGGCTAGCACAAAAGCTCAGTGATAAGGTAGCTGGGCACATTCAAGGAACAGAATGGAGGCCGGTGTGGGGGAAGGGTGGTCAGTATAAGATAAGGTTTGAGGAACAGGTTTGAAAGTCAGGGTGAAGATCTATACTCCAATTTTAACGAACAGATAAAAATATTTGGGGCTTATTCTAGAGACCTGTCTAAGGCTCATTCTATACATATTCTTAATGGCTGTAAATCTTTGGCCTTTGAGGGTGGATTTGATTTCAGGAAACTTCTCTAAATTATTTGAGGCCAAGTCTGTTGAACATAGAGAGTGACGACGCTGGGCAATGCTGTTTTGGAACAAAAATCAGGTGTGACTCTAAGCAACGAGTCAGATTTTCTCATAAACCAACTCAGAGGACAATTCCAAAAGTGTTCAGAGCAATGGCAGCACTGTTGGAGCAAGTGTGGGGTCTCCCAGGAGGACCATGTTGAAGGATAACATTCGCTTGGATTGTAGACTTTAGAGCGTGTTTGTTTACATAAAGCCAGCCTCATTAGTTTACAGTCACACCTCTTAGACATGGCCTGAACCAGTCCCAGCACCAACATGAACCCCTGACTACTGCAGAAACAAGTGGTGCATCCTGACAAGGCTGCCAAAGTTATAGCCTTGCTGTCTGCACCGTACTTGAATGACAGCAACTCTGCATTCACATTTCATCAAGTAACTGGACATGACAAATTCTGGGTGACACTTCCTAGCTCCACAAGCGGCATCTGAGAGAAGGTGAGAGGGAGGCATTCCCAAGAAATGCAGAGAGAGAGGAGAGGGCCCAGAGAGATGGAGAATGCAGCTGAGGGGGTAGGCAGAAAGACTAAAACTGAGGCATCTTCAACCACTCTTACCAGTCCATATTACTAAACAGTGCAAAAATAAAAATAAACAGCCTATATCTATAACCAAATCCTGCAGCAGTGCCTGGAAAACAACAACAACAGCAGCAACAACAAAAAATGCCCCAAAGTTTAAGTTACTAAAAGATTTAAAGTTTTTTTTTTTTTTGAGACAGAGTCTCACTCTGTTGCCCTGGCTAGAGTGCCGTGGCATCAGCCTAGCTCATAGCAACCTCAAACTCCTGGCCTCAAGGGATCCTCCTGCCTCAGCCTCCCGAGTAGCTGAGATTACAGGCATGCGCCACCATGCCCGGCTAATTTTTTCTATTTTTGGCAGAGATGGGGTCTCGCTCTTGCTCAGGCTGGTCTTGAACTCCTGAGCTCAAATGATCCACCTGCCTTGGCCTCCCAGGGTGCTAGGATTACAGGCATGAGCCACCGCACCCGGATTTAAAGGTTTTCTTCCCCCATACATTGTGTGTGCACACATGCATGTCCACAACACACATAATGAACGTGTGTGTGTGCACACTAAAGCTCAATATGTGTGATGTCCAGTGGCATAGATGGGGCTATCACAAAGGCGAAAATGTCAACTAAAATTTTCTGAGCACCTACTATGTACTAGGTATTAGGGTCAGCATGAGACAAAAATCCGCATGAGTGACCAGACTTGCACATGGTAGGCATCCCCAAAGAGCTGTTTTCTTTACAATTTCTGTTTACAGGGCCTCTGTGATGCCAAATAAGTGGCAGCCTCGGAAAGGCAAGGCCCTCGTTGATGATTCAGCAAATTCCTCCTGGAGACTGTTGAACTGTGATTTTAGGGTGGGGGCAGGATATGAGTTAGTCAGAAAAAGGGAGGGGTTTATGACTGGGGGCTTTTATACACAGCGAGTCTTTCTTCGATAGCAGTTATTTCAATTGTGCATCAGTCACAGCAACTGGGATCCTAAGTGTACGAAAGGATCCATGGCACAGCCACGGGCGTCCTGTGCTGCCTCTGCACGCTGCCTTCCCTAGTTGCGGTCCCCTCAGGTTCCATGCCTGTTTCCTAAGCTCAGCACACCCCTCTGCAAGGAAGTGCTTGGGATTCTACTTCAATGATGGCTGATGTTTTCTTCTGCAAGGGATGGGTGTTACTTTTTGCTGTTTGCCTAAAGGTGGGAAGAACAGAAAAACGGTGCTGAATAAAGATAGTGGATTCATCTAATGAGTAGGCAGGTTCCTATATATATATTTATATATATTTAATCTCAGAGCAGTGTGCATGTCTGGATGGGTGCATCTGAGACTTTTGCTATCAATAAAGAAATGTACGTGGTTGAGTTTCAAGCCATGTGCATAAAAAACACCTCCATATAGCTCTGTGGTTGAAGGGCTAAAGACAGGAAGACAGGCTTGACCAGTAACTTGGGAGTCAAGTCCTTAAACCCATCTGTGTCGTCATGATTTTTGTTAAGAAATGGGGAGAATAACAGAGGACTTTCTTCCGAATTGTGTTAGGAACCTTGTTTGGCATTGTGAGAAGAGTATTGGGTTAGTTTTCAGAAGGGACAGCACAGGGAAAGGAAAGCGATAAAATTAAGCTTATTAGAAACTCTATGTTTGAGATACGTACTTGACCATCATTAGAAGAAGAACAGATGGGAGCCACAGAAGGATTGAGCATCTATTCTGCCAACAGTGAGTGTGGCAAAGCATTCCCACAAACACTAAAGCATTTAAATGCTGAAGATTTGGATTCAAATCATGACCTCACCACATATTAGTTTTGTTGTGTTGGGTGAACTATTTGGCTGTTCAAATTCCTGTTTCTTCATTGATAAAAATGAGGAAAATAACTCCCACCTCACAAGCCAGTTGTGAGGATCAGGTCAGATGATGCAGACAAAAGCATTGTTGTATGTGTAAAATACTCTAAGAACTTGAGTCATCATCATTACTTTCCTTCTCTTCTATCCTTCCTCTTCAGCTTCTGGGGAGCAGTTTGCACCAGGTGTTTGCTTATCTGCTCCTGGCCAACACACTGCGGTTTTTCTCATAGGTTGGCTCATAGTCATGCACAGAAGCAATTCTGTTTCTTTCCTACTTGATCTATAAAGTGAATTAAAAATCCCCCAAAACATCGTGTTCTATCCTGCCTCTCTCCAACAGGACCAACACCTGAGTGCACAGACTAGAACAAAGAAATACACCATAGGATTTTATCAAACGGTAGAAAGGGAAAGATGCGGGGAACCAGTGGCCATAGCCCTCCATACTGGTAATTTGGAAAGGCAGTGAATTGGTGCGGAAGGATCCCAGGTATTCATGTCCCACAGACTTGGGCTTGTGCCCTTGACATCCCTATTCATTTGCTGGGTGTGTGACCTCTGCCCAGTCACTTAATTTCTCAGAATTTTGCACATTCCTCGTCTTTGAAGTGGAGTTATAACATCATACTACAGGGTTAGTGTGAAAACCAGAGATAATGTATGTGGAAACTGCATAGGGACTCAATCAATATTCCTTTGCCATTTTTTTCACATGTGTGATGCTATCCATTTGACTTCTTGGGTGGCCAAGGTGACTTAGGTGTCGTATTTCCTGGAGACTGAAACCTGGCTTTATCTCCCACTGTCTGTTCTTTACAACTTTGTGATGGTAACACAGTTATCATCCCAGAGGGAACAAGGAAAACCAGGGATCTCTTAAACAAATTTGCTTTTGGTTTAACTAGATATTTAGTACTTGAGTTCTTTTATGGAGGTTTAATTATGCACAGGGGGTTTTGGGAGGTTCGGCGTCTTACTGTTTTCATGGAAAATGCAGAATTCTTTGTAGCGTCTCAGGTAAGTAGGACTAATGTTTCATCCAGCCCTGTGCAGGATGGCCATGGCAACATGTGGATGAATGGTCTCCTTGTTCCTATAGAATGGAGCTCAGTCTGCATTCTCCATGTTCAGACCCTCTGATTCTCTCTCCACCCCTCTCTAACTGGATCTTTGGGAGAGACATTATTGCAGAATAAATCAGAAGGCAGCAAAGATGCCTTTTCAATTTATTTCATCCGTATTTGCCCATCCCTCCAAATCTTCCAGTTCCACTAAAAAGGAGCAGCACTTTGACTGTGGAGCTCTTTGGAAGAGCTCAAATCCTACTGAACACAAATCCTTACTCTCTCTGACATGGATGTGGTGAGCTAAGCATTTTTAAAATAAAGAATTTTCTGATATAAGGATCTGCCTCTGTACCTAGTCTTTGGGTGGTAGTGGTTTATGAAATTGAGGAGCAGAGATGTGACCTCTAATTATATATTTGCTTGCTTCTCTTTCAGCCTTCTGGGTCTCACCACTTGGAAGTAAGTGAATCAGTATTAGTGAGACTAACAGTTTGATGAGTTTACTTTTTTCTTTTAGGAAACATAAAAACGGTGGCTCAGAGCCATTGTGGTCATTGGGTCAGAGAGTTTGCACCAAGGGGAATGTGAGTACCTACCTCATAAAGTTGTTGTGAGGATTAAAGGAGTCAATACATGTAAAGTGCTCAGAATAGCGCCTGGCACAGGGGAGTGCCACATGCTATTATCCCATCCGTTCCTGGGCAGGGTCTGTCCTTGGCCCCAAGGCAAGTACTATCAGCTCTATTTCAAAATACATTCAGAAAGAAGCCAGTCGCAAAAGACTACATGTTATATGATTCCCTTATAGGAAATATCTAGAATAGGCAAATTTATCAAAAGAGAAATTACATTAGTGTGGTTGCCTAGGGCTGAGAGGAGTAGGGAGGTTGAGGAGTGACAACTAAAGGGCATAGGGTTTGTTTTGGGGTGAGGAAGTTCTAAAATTGACTGTAGTGATAGTTGCCCAACTCTGTGCATATATATATAAATTTATTCTCTAAAAACCATTGACTTATATACTTTAAATGGGTAAATTGTATGATATATGAATTATATCTTAATAAAGCTGTTAAAAAACATATCCAGAATTCTACCACTGCTCAACATCACTGTCATGCTAGTCTAAGCAACTGCTATCCATCTCCTGGACCACTGAAATAGGCTCCTAACTGGTCTTCCCAGTTGCACAATTGCCTCACAATTGTCAAGTCTCCACAGAGCACTGTAGTGATCTTTTGATGTAAAACAGAATATGTCATGCACCTGCCTAAACTGCTCTCCTACCTTCCCAGCATACTCAACAATCAAAGCTAAACACTCACTATCGTCTCAAGGTCCTACAATCTGCTCCTGGTTACTTCTTCCTCAGCCACCATTCTCCCCTGTGCTACTTTGCTCCAGACACATTGCCCTTCTTGTTCTTCCAATATGTCAGTCTCATTTCTGCCTGCCTCAGCACCTTTGTGTTTGCTGTTCACTCTGCCCAGAATTTGATCCCCATATCTTTTCATGACTATGACTCATTTCTTTCTTTCTCTCTCTCTCTTTTTTTTTTAGATAGGGTCTCTCTCTGTTCCCCGGGCTAGAGTGCCATTGTATCAGCCTAGCTCACAGTAACCTCAAACTCCTGGGCTCAAGTGAGCCTCCCAAGTAGCTGGGACTACAGGTGTATGCCACGCTGCCTGGCTATTTTTTTTCTATTTTTAGTAGAGATGGGGTCTCGCTCTTGCTCAGGGTGGTCTTGAACTCCTGACCTCAAGTGATCCTCCCGCCTCAGCCTCAGAGTGCTAGGATTATAGGCATGACTCATTTCCTTATAGCATCTAGAACTTAACTCATATGTCATATCAAAGAGGCTGTTCTTGCCCAACCCTATTTATTTATTTATTTTTAAATTGACACATTATAATTGCACATATTTGTGGGGCACAATTTGGTATTTTATATACATATATGCTGTATGATGATCATGTCATTGTATTAATTGTGTCTATCACCTCATGCACTTATTATTTCTTTGTGGTGAGAACATTCAAAAACCTCTATCTAGCTATTTTGTATTAATAATATATAATACCTTACTTTAACCATCATCACCCTACTGTGCAACAAAACACTAGAAGTTATTTCTCCTATCAATTGTCAAAATTAAAAATAGAACAACCATGGGTAAATTCCCACCTAATGGGTATAGCACGTGATGTCTGGGGGTTGGGCCCACCTGTAGCTCTGACTTGGGTGGTGCAAAGGCAGTAGATGTAACCAAAGCATTTATACCCCCGTAATATTCTGAAATAAAAAAGCTATATTACCGATATGATTTTTAAAAAAATAGAACAACCATATGATCCAGCAATCTTGCTACTGGGATATATATCCAAAGGGAATGAAATCGGAATGTCCAAGGGATATCTGCACTCCTGTGTTTATTGTGGACTATTCACAATAGCCAAGTCATGGAATCAACAGATTCCAAGCATCCACCAACAGATGAATAGCTAAAGAAAATGTGGTTATATGTAGGTTATCTATACACAGTGGAACATTAATCAGCCACAAAAAAGAATGAAATCCTGCTATTTGCAACAACATGGATGGACCTGGAGGACATCAGATTAAGTGAAATAAGCCAAGCAGCACAGAAAGACAAAATATGGCATGATCTCATTCATATATAGAATGAGTTGATATTATAGAAGCAGAGAGTAGAATAGTGGTTACCAGGGACTGGGGAGGAAAGAGTATGGGGAAAGGTTGGTCAACAGGTACCAATCCTATTTAAAATAGTCCCTTTCTCATCAATTTCTAGTCATTATCCATTTTGTTTTCTTCATAACATTTATAACTATTTGAGTTTATATTTTATCTATTTACTTGCATACTGGATGTCTCCCCCACCAGTATGTAAGTTCTATAAGAATAGGGGCTTTTTTCTTGTTCACCTAGCACCTAGAACAGTGCCCTGCACTCAGTGTTTGTCGAATGAATGAAGGAAGGAAGGAAACTACTACACTGACTGTGGATACATAAACACAAATGCTCATTCTACACTGACTGTGGATACATAAACACAAATGCTCACAAAAAGAGACATAAACACAAATGCTCATTCTTTTTCTATGTATACCTCCTATTCTATATCCTTACTTGGTATATCTGACATATTTTAAAGGTCAGGATAAAATTCTTAGGAGGAACTTGTTTTCAGGCTCCTTTTCAATGCCATTCAGCATATTCTATTTATAATACAACTTGCTGCTCAGACTGATAAACACCATCACTATGTGCATGATAGTCCATGAAAACATGTAAAGGATTTCAGAGCCTATGCTTAGTCAACCATTCCTGCTGTGAACATCAGCAATGGCTATTTTGGTGACATAAAGCTGAAGTCTAGCTTTTGTAGTCTATGCATTTATTCTCAGGTTTACTTACAGTGTGGACTTTCTCGGGCCCCTGTCCTCAGAAGAATCCTCGCAATGGGCACATTGTTGGTCATAATGGCAATATCCAGGGGCGTCAGCCCCTCGCTGTTGGGCGTGTTGAGATCTAGTTCTTCTGGTGTGTACTGATACAGGAGGATCTGCACAGCATCCATGTCCTGCTGCTCAACTGCCTCAAACATGGCTTCATTGCCCTGGAAATTCTGGAGCAGAAAAGTAAAACCAGATTAGCACGGTTTCATGGACCACTGTGTCTTTGTGGCTTAGGTATTTTAAATTTTGAAGAGTGGTGCTTCAGGGACTGCATACCCACTTACAAGTGGTATAACTACAATTTATCCCTAGGTCTCCAAAGTCCAAGACCCTCCCTACATCATTTCTAATAGGCACTGCTTAGATAGTACATTTAGATGCATTGAGACAATACAGCACAGCATGGATAGGCTGCAGATAAGAATAAAAATCAGCTTTTCTCAAAGTAGGCTTCTGAAGAATACTGTTCTATAGGTCATTGAAGTCTAGCTATGTTCCATGAAGGTGTTCTATGAGGAAAATAGCATGTGGTGAAATAAATTGGGTAAACATTGGATTAAACCAAGTTACCCTGGTATTTCCCTGTAGGACTTCTCAGAACCTTTAATACATGAATGTTTATGGAATGCAAATCAGCAATAGAAAACAATAGCCAAAGACAATATGGTTCCTTGGAAAACTTCTTTCAAAGGATTAATAGTAAACAGAGTAGAAGAGCTCTGGAATTCTCTCAAATACATATTTCTGTAGCTCATGGGAGAAGATTAGAGCACATATTATTTACATATCTATCTGGAACCTTCCCTCAAGTGTTGCTTGGTCTTTAAAAATGTTGAAATACCATTGGTTTTGACCTAGCATAGGGGTCACCTGATTAACATGAGAAGTCTTCAGTGCTCAAATGTTTAGGTGGGCAAGTTTTATTTCTAGTTTCATCAAAATTGTTTTTTCCTATCAAAGGCTGCAGGTAGGTTTTAGCTGAATACATAACACAAAATTGGAATTTGAGGAAAATACAAAGTGCTTATGCAAATGCTTATTTTGACAATGGGGACCCAGGGGATGAAGCTATTTTGGTATGCAGTTCTCTTTGCTACAAGACAATCTGCTGAATGGTAAAGTATTTTGTCCACAGTTTGCTAAGCTGAAGAGCCTCTGATGCTGCAACTTAACCACAGCCAAGCCCTCCCAGAAGATAAGTTTGGAATGAGAAAACATATTAGAAAACAAATGAGTTCAAAGTTAAAATGCTGCCCTGTCCACAGTTGTGTATTTGTTTTTGATTCTTAGTATTTCTAATTTCTCATGTGCCATATTTACTCTCACTCTTAAGTCATTTCCTCCTTCAAGCTTTTGTTGGCAAACTCTGGCATGCTTCTATCTGGAAAAGCTGGGACTCATTTCTGTTTTAAGAGCAAACAAATGGTGCCATTATCCTTTGCAAAAATACCCTTGCTAAGGTTATTAATATTATGCCTTCAGCTTTTACTGAGGGCCAATATAAGGAACTATTATTTGAGAATGTAACATCCTCAATTTCACTCTTTATGCCATTCGCTGTTACATAATTCACTATGACATCTACAGGGGCTGGAGGAATTAGCAACAAGAGAATATCCGTTTCTCCTGTGGGACTGATATATTTGTAGTTATCAGGTAATGGGATGCTATAAGCAATTTTGTTTCCTTTTCTGCTTTGACTGCCTGAGAACTAAAAGATACATGTAATGACAAAGTTCTTAACTTCTTTCTTAACTTCTTGTAGGGGGGTGTGTGTGTGTGTGCATAGGCGAAATATAGGTATACACATACACACACACACACACACACACACATATATATACACACACACCCAGGCAAATATATATATAGGCAAAACTAGCCCCCCAATATATATATGTTTTTGCTTAAGTTTTGGTTTATCTACTTCTATTCTCACTATATATATTCTTTTTCTAGTTTTTTTCTTTTTCCTTTCCTCCCTGATCCTCTGCCATCTTGCCCATTATGTAATATATATGCATTCTTTGCCTGGATTCTGTTTTGAATGCCTTTGGAAACCATGTGGGGTATACACTAGAAATAAGTAAATGATATTAATATTACTATTTGAATGAACACTGGAGCTCTCAGAAAGCCTGTTTAATCTGAGACACCATATTTGTCAAACTGCTATTTTTGAGATTTTTTTTTTCTTTTTTGTATACCAGTAAAATAAAAATTGAAGGAAAAGTAAGAGAAAGAAGTTAATAAAAAGGAAGGGGAAAAAACTCACATCACTCAAACTTTGTCTAACAACACGGGTATGTGCAGCTCCTGCCTTACCTGACTCTATTGCGGCGTTTATAGAATTGCACGCATCGGCTTCTGAAGTAAGCGTGGATATCTTGGAATCTCCTTAAACCCAAACATAACTGAACAAATCAAATGAACACAAGAATAAAAAGAGTTTCGTTACCACTGAGGTCTTTCTGAGGCTCAGCCGATCCGTTCTTGTTCTGAAATAGGCCTCATCAAATGAAGAGTGGCTGCCCTTCAGCTTCTCAGAGAGGTTCCTGTACAGGCGCTTGGCAGCGTTGGGAGATGACGGAGCACTATGTTTTTTCGACTGAGAAAGATGTAAATTCTGCATTTGTTGGGTCATTTTCACACGGCAATTCCTAAGGAAGAGGAAAATCTGATGCTTTTACATAACAAAATTAGAAGTTGGCAAGGTGTTGTGCCATCCGCAGCACCTATCTGGAATCCTAACACAGTATTGTAGCCGGAAGGGACCTCAGATCATCAGACCCAGCTTCTTCATGTTGTGGACGAGAAAGCTGAAGACCAGGGAAAGGAAGCAGCTTGTTCATGGCCACAGAGCTAATTGGTGGCAAGAATGAAATGATAACCTCCATGTACTACGTAAACATACCCATTTACATATAAACGTATACGTGCTATGAACCTTCATCCCATTTGAGGAAGTGTCTCTCTATAGCCTAGGGTGTTTGTTCAGTTCCTCTTGGGTTTAGGTAATTGAGACTTTTCTACTTACCGCCTCATAGACACTGGCCTCTGTTGGGTGAATAAGAAAGAGTGATCACTCCCTGAATAGCTGTGTTCTCTCCAGATAGCAGTTAAATTGTGCCTGTTATCTGAGGCTTGGTGAACTACCATAGTGCCCAGAGGCTTAGGGGGTTTGTACCAATAGCCCCATCCCTGCTCACCTCAGGTACCCTGGATAGAGTCCACCAGGGCACTCACTGCTGCCATTCTCCAAGTAGTACTTCACTGTTGTCACAGAAAGGTCCCCACCAATGTCACACCTGAAATTGGTTTCCAGGAGATCAACTGTGCCATTTCAAAACCCACCCACCATTGTTTTGGGTATTGCTATTGAAATACTGATGCTACCAAGGCTGTGGCTGTTCGTCATGTGTATGTGTATGTCTATTGGACAAACAAATGCACGAATAAAATAACTAGCCAAAGTATTCATAGTTATGTGCAAATTATCTCCACTTTGGAGTAGAATTGGGCCCGGGGCTCCCTGGAGCATGCTGCTGCTTTCCTACCAGCTCCCCTGGTGGGAAAATTAAATTTAAATTTTTTTTATTGATATATAATAGATGCACACATTTGGGGGGTACATGTGATCATTTAATACATTCATATCATTTATACAGATCAAATCATTATAATTGGGATATTCATCAATTTAAATATTTAGGAGCCTAGTACAGGAAAACTCATGGCAGCTAATATTTTTGTTATGGAAGGCACTCAACAGATAATTTAGAATAAATGAGTGCACATATGACAGTCTATTGCAGATAATACACGAGAGGGCTAACCAGAAAATTCATTTCCTCCTTGTGCCTCTGAGCTGGGTTCCACGTTCACTAGCACCAACCAATTTTAATTTACTTTCATTTTTATAAATGGAGATCCATCTTCATTACATTGTTAAATGTTCTTAGGCAACATTTAAGTCTTGTTTACAACTTTCTCCCACAGAAAAAGACTTCCTTGTTCCTTTTAAGGTGGCCCAATCCAATCAATCTTCATAATATGCATTAGGCCCTACCCAATATTAACTAAATGGACATATTTACATTTGGGAAGATGATGCAAAGCCTTGTCTGTGATGTGTATTATGTGTGGGTGTGTTTTTATACATCTTTAGTGACCTTTTAATTTTATCAAAAACAGAAAAGGAAAGGGTAGGCGATGTGGCATCTTTTTTCACCCATCTACAAATCGTTTATCTTTGATTCAATAGCAACTACAGGATTTTCTCTAACTTATTTCTTTCCATTCCCACAAAAATTATAGATTCATATGCAAGCTGGCTTATGTGGGGATTGCCTTAACCTCTTTCTTTCTGCCTTCTCTCTGTAGCCTTTTCCTTCAGCATTAAAGTCCCAGTTCAAGCCATCTGTCTTGCCTACATCATTATAGTTCCCAAAATAATTCTGCATTCTTTTGTATCTCCCACTATGCCCAGGAGTCCAGTAAATAAATTCTTGTCGATTGATCAAATTCCAGCTACTTGCCCTCTAACTGATGACACCTACCCACATGGCCCCTTTTGTCTTTGCTCATCTTCCATCTGTTCCCTTCAGTCAAAATAGGTTGACTTTCTCAGTCTCTCTGACTTCCTTCTCATCCTCTCCCAGCTGTCCCTTCCTTCCAGGCTGTTCTTTAGCTGTTTCTACTCTTCTAGCTTTTATTTCTATTTACCTCCTCATAGATGCTTTCTTATATTTCATGTTTTCTTTCTCTCCTCTATATTTAAAATTGTGTCAGATAAGAGATAGCAAGAGAGACAACTTTCTTATAAGAACAATCTGTTCTTATAAATACGTGTGCCCCTCCAACTAACTGTTCTCTTACATTTTTACCTTTATAGAAAAGAACACACATTTGAGTATCCATGGAGCTTTGGCTCTGGAATTTGGCAACCTCAAGCTTGAATCTTGATATTATTACCTACAATCTTTGTGACTTTGGGAACCTTATATAAATTATCTGAGTTTATTTCATTATTTATAAAAAGACAATAATAGGACATTTCTTATAGAGTTGTGAAGATAAAAAATTAATCAACAAATGAAAGGCACCTATACTGTTTGGTGTATAGTAGCCACTCAATAAATATCACTGATTATTAAGGTTACCCTAAGTCTTATCTGCAAAATAGTGTCACCAAAGTATACTGTAATAATTTAAATAGTTTTCTTGTTCATTTTAAACATTGTCTTGAAATCGAATTGTATGTACTTATTATACTATTATGTTTTGTATGTATGTGTACAGTAACTTACAATAAAATACAAATAGGAAGTAGAGCTTCAAACTATTAGAGAGAAGGGTAGAATAAAGACTAATTGAAAAATAATTTAAAAATTAAAAAATGAAATATAATGAATAGAAAATGTAAAATGAAGTAGCGAGGCTACACTGAATATTTCTGTGAGCACAGTACATTTAAAAGTTTACCTTTCTGATAAAAGACAAAAATTCTGCTATTGGAAATTCTTAAAAAAGCCATTTATAAGTGTGCACCTAAATACACATTTCACATAAAAATTAAAAATTAAAAAATAGGTGGGAACGGCAGAGAAATGATTCACTAAAATCCTCTCCCCCATAAAAACAATGAGAATCCTAGCAAAATGGTCAGAATTAACTTTTCAGAATCCTGGAAATTAACCAAAAGCTTACGGTATTCCAGGAAGTCTTTTTCTGTTAATTTAAGTGAATTTTTTCCAGTTTAATTGAGGTATAATTGAAGAAAAATGGCTGAGTTTGTAAGAACAGGAAGATGTGTGGAATCTTAACTTGCCCTATTCCCATCTTCTCCAGTTCTGTGGTAGTCTTGAAAACCAATAGTCTACATTCACAGTAAAAACAGTAGCCTATCAGTCACTGGAGGGAGCAGCATGGGGTTGGAGCACCTTTTAAACACTATTTCCAGAGAACTGCCATTATTTGACCTGTCTGGTGGTTCCCTGGGAGACCCCACTTACAAGGCTTGTCTTATTTGGTCTGACTCAGAGCACACCAAGGACAAATAGCCTTTTCTTTTGGGGTGTTTGTCAGAAAAAAATATCAGCAATTGTATAACAATTGTTTAAAATTGCTTAAAAGTTGGGGAATGAGATGTCCTGAGAGGACTTTGAAAAGCTTTGGCATATTCCTGGGAAATCTAGCAGAACACATGCATGCCCAGGACACATGCCCAGAACACACATGTAGCTGGGAGTATGCTCAGAAAAGATCTGAGAAGATCCTCAGCTCTGATCTCGCTCTGACTATGAAGCTCTGTGAAAGCAGGAAGTGAAGACTAAAGCAGAGTTGTTAACTGTTTGGCTGAATGTTGAAGGTGTGCCTCAACACCACACACACACACACACACACACACAGGCAGTCCTTCAGCAAAGACTGGGATACTTATTGGTTCCAGGCATTTAAGGAAATCTCTATTCAATCATCAGCTGACCACCTTTACCAAGCAGAGACTTCAGTGGCCACACATGACAAAAAATACAGACTTTAAAGGTTTAGTTCTGAAAAATCACTAAATAACAACAAATACTAGAAAGGGAGATAATCTGATTTCAAGCATTGCCATATCATGTCATTAAAATATATCTAATTTTCAACAAAAAGAAACAAAAATTATATCCCATACATTGGAAATAAAGTAGTCAATAGAAAATTAACCCTGAAGAAGCCCAAATATTGGATTTATTGCACAAAGACTCTACATTAACTATTTTTAAATGTTCAAAGAACTAAACCATGTCTATAGAAATAAAGGAAATTATGTCTCACCAAATAGAAAATATTATTAAAGAGATGGAAATTATAAAACAAGAACCAAATAGAAAGTTTGAAGTTTAAAAGCACAATAGCTGAAATAAAAAGTCATTAGAGAGGTCCAACAGCAGATTTGAGCAGGCAGAAGAAAAAATCAGCAAACTTAAAGCTAGATCAACTAAGATTTTCTAGTATGAGGAGCTAAAAAAAAATGAAAAAAATGAAGTCTCAGAGATCTCTGCAACACTGTCAAGTGTACCAATATACACATAATAGGAGTTCCAGAAGAAGACAGGGGGTGCAGAAAGAATATTTGAAGAAATAATGGTCAAAATATTCCCAAATTTGATGAAAAACATCAACTATACATATATAAGGCTCAATGAACACTAAGTAGGATAAATTCAGAGAACCAGGCCTACGTACATCATAATCAAACTATAATAAGCCAAGGACATAGAATCTTAAAGACAGCAAGAGAGAAATGACTCATCACATACAAAGGATCCTAAAATGATTAACAGCTAAGTTTTTACCCAAAACCACAGAGGCCAGAAGGAAGAATGACATAATCAAACTGATGAAAGAAAAATGCTTTCCAATAAGAATTTCTCTACCCAACAAAATTACACTTCAAAAATGAAGAGGAAGATATTGCCAGATAAACAAAAAACTAAGAGAATTTGATATTAGATATTCTCTATAACAAATATTAATAGGACTCCTTTGGGTAGAAATGAGAGAACACTAGACAGTAACTGAGATCCACATGAAGAAAGAACATTGGTAGGGAAACTACATAGGTAAATATAAAATATAGTATAAATATATCTTTTGCTTGTAAGTCTTTTTT